TTCAAACAGTCGGATTGATCACAGAGTTGGCCGAGTATGAGCCGACACTCAGAAGAGCAAAAAGATTTGAAGATTTGAGGGCAGAAGAGACAGAAACGGCAAAGCCAGGGAAAAAAAGAAGAAAAAAAGACACCACAAACGGAAGACGAGAACTTAAAAGGAGCAACCTTTAAAAGGCAAAATAAAAGAAGTGAAATGAAGTGAAAGCAAGAAAAAAAAATAAAAAATACTTGATAGGGTGTAAGGGAGCAGAGAAATGAAAGCAGAGAGGCAGAACCAAATGGAGCAAAAAAAAAAAAAACAAACAAAAAAGAAAAAACAGGGAGATAAATGTGTCTGCAGGGTCCAAGTTTTGTAGTTTATAACCACTGGGAAATATTTCATAGGTCCAGAGCAGTTTGGGCAGGAATTGAGAACAAATTTCCTGTTTTTGCCGCAGGTGAAGAAAGACACATACTGACAAATGCCTTACTGCCAACCTAAGCCCCCACGAGCCGGGAGGCCAGTGGCTTATCACTCAGTCTCGCTGCCTTTATGGCTAAAAATATATGTAGGTCACATCATCCATTTAGCTTCATTTAGTAACTGACACAGAAAAACACAGAACAACTTTTGATGCAGTTGAGCAACTGTCTTTTGTTTGGTTTGGCCGATTCGTCACTCCAAATTGCTCTGAATGGGGCTGTAACTGGACTGCATTTATCTAAAGAGTGAAACGGTTTGCCTGCAACAGAGTTTCACTGTAAAGCACAAAGATGATGAACAAAGGAGAGTAAAAGCCTCCGAGAAACAACACTGGAGCTCTTGCTACAGTCTTGTTTTGTCTCTTGATGTTTGGCTTTATCTGCAAAGTTGTTGAGAAGGAAGTTTTAAGAACATTCAGGATATTGTATATTATGAGTGATATCATGGTTTCCTAAGCTTCTGATTGGTTATGTCCAGTTAAATGGCGATATACCCTTTGGTTAAATTTAAAAGCACAAATTGAGGAATAGAATTGTGGATCGCCACGTGTTCATTCTTGGAAATAATTTTCCTCATTTGTTATGAGTAAAAAATGTTTAAAAATATTTAAAACAAATAGTTTAAAAGCCAATTGAATCCAATTTTAAGTAAATATTTGGGAACATCTAAAATGCCATCCATCCATTTTCTTTACACCCTTGTCACTTAGTGGGGTCAGGAGGTGCTGGTGCCTCTCCAGCTAATGTTCCAGGTGAGAGGTGGGGTCACCCTGGACAGGTTGCCAGTCTGTCACAGGGCAACACAGAGATACAATTTGGAGAAGCCAATTAACCTGACAGTCATGTTTTTGGACTGTGGGAGGAAACCAGAGCAGAGTACCTGGAGAAAACCCACGCATACACAAGGAGAACATGCAAACTCCATGCAGAAAGACCAGGGCTGGGAATTGAACCCAGAACCTTCTTGCTGCAAGGCAACAGCTCTACTAACTGCGCCACTGTGCAGCCCATTGTTTAAAAGGAAACAAAGTAATTGTGAAATATATATATATATATATATATATATATATATATATATATATATATATATATATATATATATATATATATATATATAAATAATTCAATTTTGCCTCATTTTGGAATTTAGCAAATAGGAAAAGTTTAGTCTGATTTAATCTTAGTAAACATCTGGTTTCAACTGCACATCAGAAAAAAAGTCAACAAAACTTTTGATTATGTTTTTTTGTGTTTAATGTGTTAATATTATTACACAGGATTTCTTCCAGAAAATCCATTTTACTGCTCAAACACATTCCTTGGCAAAATACAAATCCTGCTTACCGTAAAAGTGCTGGTTTCTACCAGGATTATCGGAAAGTTTAAAATGGTGCCTCTGCCAACTCAGAAACGTCTCAGCCAGTCTGCCACCGCCTCGAAAGAGCAGGAAGAAGCTTCATCTGGCTGCCATTCTCTGCGAATCATGCAGTAACTTGACCAAATCAGCAAACCTCAGTGGCTGAGCAACAACACCAGGCAATCCCAGCAGATTCTCACGTTTTATCTTCCCTGTTCTAAAAACATGAGCAAGTCTGCTGCGAATTAGTTCTCCAGTACATGGAAAATAGATGTGAGAACACAAGAAACGTGGGAATTGCATGAGAGTATTTTCACTGTCAGGCAGCATTTTCACACATGTAATCATCAAAGGGCGCCGCACCTCACACATCTGCAACTGCACAAGATTACGCCGAGATCCACATCATTTTGTTGTCTTCAGAGGTTTTACAGGAGGCTTTTATATTCAGATCAGCTTCATCTACAAATGCAGGATTAAATAAGAGCTTTATCCAAATAATTATCTGTGACTTTTTGACACCAGATCCAGTTATTTTACCTCAGGGAAACCTGTCAGGTTGAGTTTTTATTAAACTCTTCATGAAAACAACTGAAAGTCTTCATGAAGTCTTTAACACTGTCAACAAATATTCTTGTCTTAACTTTTGTTGCTAATAACACCAATCAAAATGGTGGTATAGTGTTTTTAAACACACACACAACATATAAAAAGTATCAGCTGGTGTCACTAATAAAACTAAGTAATAAACTTTAGTGTCGATTAGCCAATCAATACCTAATCACCAACAATAAACGTAGCAAAGCGAGTTAGAACAGGCTTAAATCTGGCTTTTATACCTAATATTAACCTCATAAAGTGGAAATGGGAGATGTGGTGACAATAATTGAAAGCCATTTAAAAGAGAAAATAGAAAAGCAATATTTGAGTATTTTATTATGCTGTATTATTGCTGTATCAGGTTCCCTGGAGTTACGATCTGATTCTTTCAAAGCTGTCCTTATTTTTAAATTAGAAAATAAGATTGTCCGCCCTAATGAAGCTTTTTCCATCAAGAAGAAACTTTAACATGCAGAGTCAGGCATTCAAATAACTTAACAAGAGAAGCCATCAAGGTCTTAAACTCCTTCTCTTTTGAAATACAAAAAGACACAAGGAGAACTTGCTTCGACTAAATCAGCAGATCCAATTCCGTCCCTAAAGACAGACAGCTGGTCAGAAATAAAATAAAGTTATTAAATATGTAAAATAAGTGTTATCCTCAGCGTTACTCGTCATTAGAGCAAGTCATCAGTTCTTGATTATGTTGAGTCATGTGGTACGGAAAGGCAGGGAGGTAAAATTCCTAAAAATGGTTTTTTCCTTCAAAGTTCTGACACCTCAGCAAGTTAACTTTGAGTCCTTCTCAGCTGGCCGTTCCCTCACGTTGGGCGGCGATCAAGGGTGGCCCAACCTTCCCTGCCAAATGAATCCTGCCCTGCTTTCATTAGGCAACTTTTTGCACAGTGGCAGATGGTGAACACACATCCACTGACACACACACACACTCACACACACACACACTCCGGCCCCTGAGAAGCAATCTCACCTCCTCTCTCAAATTTCCTCAATTTTTCACCCCCACTTTTTCTCATCCGTCTCCCTCTCTTCATCCCAAAGCCGTGGAAACTTCTAAAGTGGCAGATATTTTTAGGTTCTGCTAAATGACAGAGGAAGAGTTTCGACGAAACATTTTAAGAGAAACAAAAAACCAACTTTTGAAACAAGGTGGCATCTACAGGCGATGTCATCTACTTTGACCTCTTAAGACTTGCTGGGACAAACATAACTGGCTGAAAAATCTTTGACCATTTCTCATTTTCTGCTAATAAATACATTTTTGCTTGGAATTTTTGGAGACATGTGGTCAGTAGTTTATAGAATAAAATAATGATGTTCATTTCCTCAAACATATGAAAAATAAAATCAGAGAAACTGATCATGTCTCAGTGGTCTCTCCATTTTGTCCAGAGCTGCACATTGTGGATGACGTACGCTGATGAAGATGGCTTGTTATTTACAGGTTTTGATCTGACAGAGATTTTTTAAAAGTTAAGAAAAGTGACATTATAAAAAGTCATTGTTATTTTGCAGAAAGCACTTTTTCAAATGTTGAAGCAAAAAGAGCGTCTGTTCCTAGATACAGTTTATCAGGGTGATTCACCAAAACCCGCCACTGATGATACATTTTGGTGTTAAAAGGTTAAAAATGAGCCCTAAGGATCTGCGCAGCACACATCCAACGTATCTGCTGACAGCTGCCGCCACGCAGGTCAGGATGAAACAACCCACGCAGGATGCTATATAGGCGAACCATTTACACGGTCTCTGAAGAGTTTTTACAGCTGTTTGCTTTGACGGCAGCGTCAGGCAGCTGTGAAACAGAAAATACCACCTCAAGGCATTTCTCTCTTGGACTTTTCTGAAAATTCAAAAACATTCAGTTAATATCGACGCCTCCGTGGTTTTTATCTTAGCATATGCAGTCTTTTCCGCAGGATTTCACTGAGGTCGGTCCTCTAAATAAACACTTTAGTTCTTGAATTCTCCATGTTTTCAATAATCTTGGTTTACACTCGGCTTGTTGGAAGAAGCTCAGCGGTAAACACCGAGGTTTAGAGTCAACAAATGCATGGCAAACCGTGTTCAAAGGCAAACACGCAAAACCACGGTTGTCACATGTTGCACGGATAATTTAGGAGCCTTAAAGACAAATGTGTATAATTTATGTAAAGCTGCTCGTGCATAGGTATGCAAAAGGGCGTAAGCAAGCATGTGTGAAGTGTCAGCAGCTGCCAAACAGCAGCAGACAGGAAGCGGGCTGGTATGAAAGCAGCCAGGCAAATGCCATCACCTATTATGGACAAAACCAGTGGCACGGCCACACACACACACACACACACACGCAGACATAAACACACACAAATGTTCCTGAATCCACAGTTCAAACAGCAGACAGGTGGCCTGTAGACTAAATCCATGAGCTACATCATTATTCTCCCAACTTGTACGATATTCATGTTGCCGAGGGCAGACACACAGATTGGCTTCACAAACGCAAAACATGAGATCTGCATGCATGTGCAAATGTCAAGCAGAAACACGACTCCGTTTACCCGTTTTAAAACATGAACGCTTACCTTTGTGATAGGACACCTGCTTGGACTGCAGCGAGAAGGTTCCCATCACCAGACCCATGTTGACTTCTTGGTGTAGTAAAGGTGTGTGTGCGTGAGTGTGTGCGTGAGTGTGTACGATGTAATTAAGGTGTGTTAGTGAGCGCGCACCCAGCAGGTGTGTGTCGTCTGTGATTAAGTGAGTCCGTCAGTCGGCTGTATGTGTGGAAGTACAGATATCACTTCTCATGCCGCCTCACACCCACACAGCTCCGCTGCTTTTGCTCGAGGGTGTGAGTGAAAAAGAGAAAGAGTGTGTGTGTGTGCGTGTGTGTGTGAATGAAATGAGCGGCAGACACGCACTCTGAAGCTACCTTTGTCTGCGCTGTCACTGCCTTCCTCTCATCCCTCTGGTCTCTTACTCCTAACAGTCCCTCCCTCTCAGAGTTAAACCCCTCTTCACCCCCGAAACCAGACTGTCATTCCTCCAGTTCCTCCGCACCTTTTTACGTGTTTGTTCCTCCCTGCCTGCTCCCCTCCGTCTCTCCCGTTCATCTCAGCCGCTCTGCCTCTGCCTGTCTGTCTGGTGGGGAACGAGGGGCTGCACACTGTTGCACGGGGGGGGGGGGAAGGTGGGAGATGAGTTGGGGGGGGGGGAAAGTGGGGGCAAACCGAGGGGGGAAAA